GCCCTGTTTAATGTCACTACTACCCAGATATTCCTGGTGGAGGACTCTCCTTATCCTAGCAATAAACTTTGTGCTTCAGCTCCTCAAAGCACTTTGCTCTCAGTAAGAACCCAATTAAATCTTTTCTAATAGTTTGGTTCCAGTCTGTCTGCAGAAGCATTTCAAAGTTGATAGTTCTATGGAATTTGACTGAATGTTCTACTAAAAACAAAATAAAAGAATTCCATTATAAAAAGGATTCCAGTTTAACAGGCTGAATAAATGAGCTGAACAATTATGCTTGCTTCTTACCACACAACTCTTTAGAGACTTTAAGATACTAATTGGTCTCTGTTTCAAGATGGGGAACATTTCCTAAACTTACTTGACCATAAAGACTTCTTATCAAAATAAGAGCTTTGTAAGTATAAATAAGAAAAGGTTGCCTGTGAATTCTAATCCCGTGAGACTGATATGGGTGTCCTAGTGACAGAGGAATACCCAGGCACAGACATGCACAGGGAGATAGTCTTACAAGGACAGAGGCATACAGCACTATGCAGCTGTGGGGAAACTGCCAGGGCTAAGGCAGAAGAACCCTGACCCAGAGTCTCCAGGGGCAGCTTGGCCCACCAAGCCCTCAGTGGCAATCTTTGAGCAGGACCATAGAGGGTACACGTGTACCTGGACACCCTCATTGTGGGACTTTGCTGGCAGCTGCAGGCTATGGGTATACAGGTGGCAAATCAATTCCTTTTGGGATTCAGGGTCAAAAAGAATTACAGCCCTGATAAACACATGTTCAAGATTACACAGAGTTCTTGCTTGGGCCTAAATTATTTGACTTACCTTTGACCACACTGCATTATAATATGGCTGCTTCAGTTCGCATCACCTTGGAGGGAGTCACCATGTTCAGCTCCCACCACGGCCACTGCCTGCAGACTTCACTTCCTCTCTCCTCCTTCAGATCTTCATGCGGGTGGTAACTTCTTCACAACAAGGCCACCCTGTTTAAAATCTCTGTCTACCTACCCAGCAATCTGAATTTCACTACTCACGCTTCTTCTTCTTCGGCCTATTTCCTACTAACAAATCATATCCTTTACTTACTTGTTATGTCAGATTCATAAGGCAAAGACTCTTGGTCTAATACATTACTGATGTACTCCAAGCATCTACATAAACACTCCTAGCAGGTTCTTAGTAAGTGTTCATTGAAGGAATGTCCGTGTGACCACCGGCAGTAGCTACCAATCGCCTAAGTGTTTTACCCACTGGATTTACCCTAAAGTCTATGGAACATTGTAGTATACTAGGGGCCAGTTTATGTAATAATGAGGACTTTGTCTCTCACTCTGAGTGAAATAGAGAAACACTAGAGGATTTACAGAAAATCTAACTTGCTGCTGTGTGAAGAAGTGGCAGTTTAGAAAGAAAGTATAGTGATTCAGACTGTTTAGGGATGATTGCGGCTTGGGTCAACATGGAGGAGTGGGGACGGTGGGAAATAGTGGGGGTCTAATAAGAATTAAAGGACGTTCCACCAGGATTTTCTGACAGGTCAGATATCATTATCAGAAAAAGAGAGGAATCAAGGATGACCTCCAAAATTGTTGATCTGAGATAATTTCAGAAGTATAGAATTGGCAAAACCCAGATGGAAGAAACTGGGGACTGGGCTTTGGAAAAGCAGAAATTCTGTTCAGATCATGTTCAGTAATAGCTGATCTATTACTAATAGCTTTTAGACATCTATAGATCACACGTCATCAGTTTCAGAAAGGCAACTGCACATAAAAGTTTGGGGTGCAAGACAGAGTTCATGGCTAGAAGTATAAATTTGGGAGTCACTGTCATATAAGTACATATGGTGTTTAAAGCCATGATACTAAATGAGATAACCAAGGTGTTACGGATTAAGAACTGGTGATCGGGGGCTGGGAGTTTAGCTCAGCGGCATAAGCGCCTGCCTTGCAAGCAGGCAGTCGTGAGTTCGATCCCCGGTACCGATAAAAATGAAAAAGACAAAAAAAAAGAACTGGTGGTCAACTTAATGCCAGCTATATTACATCAGCACGGTGCTGAGCGCAGAAGTCCCACCCGAGGAAATTTGCCAGCATAAGTAGAGATGTGGAGAAGGAGAAAGAAAGGCATTGAAGCATTAATGCGTTGAGGTGTTGAGGTATTGTGGGTTCTCCTACGTGTTGCTGTTTGATCCATTAGGTTTTCCTGGATAAGCTTTGGTCCTCACATCCTGGCTTGGTCTTCATAGCACTTACATTGTACATAGTTATTACCGTGGCTTGGTGATTGCTTCCTGGCTCCAGAGAGGAAGACGTGTGCCGCTTGGTCTCCAGGATGAACTGTCACGCTGGCTTCTTGGCAGGTACTCAACTGTGCTTGTCGTGGGAGGAACTTGGAGCCTCTGTGTAGCTGAGGATGGCTGTGGTGCTTTTCAGGACAGCCCTGGTCTTTGTTGTGAGTGTGACTTCTCGGCTCCAGCATAGAACCCTCATCCCACCAGCACACTCCTTCACCCCACTGGCATGGACTTTCTGGCTTCCACCGCTAATATTTAGGCCTTTCTGGCACGGATCCATAAAAGAGACTGACGTGAGTCTTTCTTGTGGGCTCTGGACCTCCAGCTGGACTCGTGGCAGGCATTATCATGAGCTCTGGGTTTTCATCTGGACTCCTGTGGGACATTGCAGTGGGATTTAGGTCTTTGACTAAATATTCTATGTCTTTGGTGTTGCAGATAGATTTCCTGCATTTTCTTGTGTTAACTCCCAGTGACCATTATAAAAATAATAATATAAACTCCGTGTCCTGATTATAATTGTTCTCTGCACAACCTCTGACTACAACACAAGGCAATCATGTAAAGAAAAAATGAAGACCAATGACAGAGCTTCAGGATATATCAACATGAAGAGATCTACCAGACAGAAACAATCTGCTTAAGAAGACCATAAAAGAACAGTCAATTAGGAATCAAGAGACAATGACATCTTGGAAACAAGGTGGCAAAGAGAAGAGTGGCCAACGCAGTCAAATAGCCGGGCTAGGTCCAGTGTGATTAAAACTATTAATTGATTGTTGGGGTTAAAAATACTTAGGTCATTGGTTACTTTCATGAATATAGTTTCTGTGCAAGAAAAAAGGAAAAGCCTTGATTAGAATGGGCCTAAGAGAAAAATGAAGGAGAGAAGTTAGTGACAGAATGTAGGAAACTATTGGTAGGCACTTTGCTACGCTTAGATACAGAGAAATGGGGTGGCAGCTGGTGGATAAAAGGAAGCAATAAAGTCATGTCTGATGCTTACAGAAATGACTCAGTTGGAGGAAAAATGAATAATGCACAAAAAAGAAAAGGATAATTACTGTAGTGATGCTTTCAGGTGCTAAGGATTAAGATCTAGTGCAAAGATAGAGGTTCCACAAATGACACGGTAATAACTATGGGCAAAAGAAAAGTCCTTCTTATTCCTACTAACCTAGCCTCTCCAGCTCAGAAGATACACATGAACAAACACAGCCACACACTCACACAATACACCTGATTTATCACTGATATTCCTTGGCTAAGCAGTTCTCTTTTGGTATGTGCAAGGCATTAGTTCCAGGATATCCTGAGGATATCAAAGTCCACAGATGCTCAAGTTCCTTTAAAAAATGGTATAAATACATGCATATAAGCTGCAACATTATTTTGTATACTTTAAATCATCTTTAGATTGTACAATGTAAATGCTATGAAAACAGTTGTTGCACTGTACAGTTTGGGGAATAATAACAAGAAAAAACAGACATGCTCAGTTCAGATATGTTCAGTACACAATTATTTTTCAAATGTTTTCCATACTTGATAGGTTTCATCTGTGGATACAGAACCCATGGTAGTCTCTTACCATCTCTGACTACAAACTCCTCCACAGTTTCACCCCTTTTTTCTCAAGGAAACAAGGGGAAGAGAGAAACAGAGAGACAGAGAGTCAGAGACAGACAGAAAGAACCCAGACTGAGGAACTGAGGATATAGCTTTGTGGTATGTAATTTGTTGAGTATGTATGAGTTCCTGGGTTCAATTTCTGGCACTGAAAAGAGAAGAAGGAACAGGAGGAAGAGGGTGAAAAAGAACAAGCCAAATTTCAGGCATACAGTTTATAACTTTCAAACTGAAGATACTCACACCACATCAAGTATACCCACACCACCTAGATTAACAAATAGATTTTTCAGTGAGCTTAATAGTAAGGTCATATGCCTAGTACATGTGAGGCCCTAGATTTAATCTGTAGTACTGCCACAAAAAGAAAAAAAAGAAACAGGTCCTCATCAACATCACCACAACACTGTTCGGATTTTTATCACTAAGTTAACTTTGACTATTTTAAATCCTATAAATATAACAGTGTAATTTAGCATTTTTCATGTTTGGCTCTGTGGCTCAAAAGTATCTTTTGTGAGATTCATGCATGTTATTGGCATGTAGAAATAGTTCATTCTTTTTACTTGCTTAATTGTGTTTCTTGGGACAAATATACCACAATTTATCCATTGTGTTGTTAACATTTGGATTGTTTCCAGGGTGGGGGTATTATAAGTAAGTGCCATGAACATTTCCCTTTGTCTCTGTTAATGCATATAGATAGATAGATAGATAGATAGATAGATAGATAGATAGATAGATCTGTTGGGCACATACCACAAATAGGATACTGCTGGTTCACAAATTATGTATACATTTATCTTTAGTAGATATTGCCAAATAGTTTTCCAAGATGGTTATGGGATTTTCTTCCCTCACTCTCTACCTGGCCCTCACTTGGAGTTATGCCCTTACTTCATTCTAGCCATTCTGGTGGGGTCCTTCTGTCTCCCTAAGGTTCTAGTTCAATAGAACTTCTCAACACATGGTCCACTTTTGACTCCCTCCAACCCACTCTCCAAGTTAGAAACAGAGAAATCTTCAAACATAAATCTGAGTACACCATTCCCTTCCTTACCACATCCCAGTGTTGCTCCGTTGGGCACCACATATCCTAAAATTGAAATGATTCAGAGATTAACACAGTCCCTGAGCAGGGATGACACATATTCATGCAGTGATCCATGTTTTTAGATGCAAAGATCCTCAGTAAGATACTGGCATATAAAATACAGGAAATCATCAAAAAGGTGATACAAGTAGGATTCATTCCAGGGATCTAGGGGTACTTTAATATATGCAGATTGGTAAATGTAATACACAACATTAACAAACAAGAATCACATAATCATCTCAATAGATACAGAAAAAGTACTGAATAAGATCCAACACCTTTTCATGATAAAATCATTACAGAAAATAAGAATAAAAGTACTTTATCTCAATTTGATAAAAAGTATCTATGACAAGCCAACAGTCAGCATACATTTAGTGGTCAGAAACTAAAAACTTTTACTCTAAAATCAGTAACAATACAAGTTCAATGTAGTTCTGAAAACATTAATCAGAGCAATCAGACAACAGAAAAATAATAAGAAGAAGAGGAATAAGGAAGAAGTTAAATTATCATTATTCACTGATTAAATGATACTCTATATAGAAGAGCCCAAAACTTTACCAAAAGAATCCTACAATAAATAACCAGACTCAGCAGAGTACCAGGATTCAAATTCAACACTCAAAAATCAGTGGCACTTTTCCACACAAATAACAAATTCAATGAGACAGAAATTAGGGGAAAAAACACACCTTTCATAATTACATAAATAAGTTAAATACTTTGCAATCAATCTAACAAAGGAAGTAAAATACCTATACACTGAAACTATAGTATTCTGGAAAAGTAGATCAAAGAGGACATCAGAAAATGGAAAGAGAGCATTTGCTCTTGGGTAGGAAAAAAACAATGTAGTGAAAATTGCTGTACTTCCAAAATTTTTATATGGATTTAATGGAACCCCAGTCAAAATATCAATAGCATGCCTCATAGGAGAAAACAATCCTAGAATTCATTTGGAACTAGAAGGGATCTGGAATAGTAAAAGTAATTCTGGGCCACAAAGGCAAGCCAAGGGCATTACAACTCCTAATTTGAAATCATACTACAAAGCTACTGTCTTGAAAACAGCATGGCACTGGAAAAAACATTCCCAAGGATCAACAGAACAGAACAGAAGATACTGAAACAACTCCAAACATCATCAGCTATCTTATCTTTAGCAAGGGGCCCACACCTTCACTAGAAGAAAGAGCTTCTTTAATAAATGTGGTGTAGCAAGGGATTTAACTCAGTGGCCCAAGCACTTGCCTGGTAACCATAAAGTCATGAGTTCAATCTCTGGTACCAAAATAAATAAATAAAACAAAAATAAATGGTGCTGGGAAAACTGGGTTTCCACTTGCTGAATATTAAACCTGGATCCATATCTCTTACCATACACTAAGCCAAAATTGAAATGGGTCAAAGATCTAAATATTAAAACAGAAACACTTAACCTTCTGCTAGGTAAAATAGATAAAATTCTAAATAGGTGTAGGCAAAGATTTTATGAACAAAACCCTGGTCACCCTGTAACTATTACAAAGAATCAACAACTGGGATCTCATCTCATTAGAAAGCTTTTGTACAGCACAATAAACCACCAACACAGTGAAGAGACAAGTTACAGAATGGAAAAAAATCTAACTTGCTATTTTTCTAGACTAATATCTGGAACATATGAAGAACTCAAAAAATCAGACCCCTCAAGTTTATTTATTTATATTTTTAGACTCTTCAAATTTAAAGACTCAATCCAAAAATGGGTATCTCACATGAATATATACTTCTCAAATGAAGAAATACAAACAACAAATAAATATATTAAAAAATATTCAACATCGCTGATGATTTGAAAAATGCAAAGTAAAACAACAAAGATTATCTCACCTGAGAAAGAATCGTTATCATCAAGAAATCAACCAATACCAAATGCTGGTGGAGTTTTGAGGAAAAAAGAAACACTTCTCCACTGTTGATGGGATTATAAATTGGTACAACTACTATGGAAATCGGTGTGAAGATTCCTCAAAACTTAAAAAACTATAGGTTTCATTAGACTCACTTCACTTTCTGAGTATTTTTCTAAAAGTGTTAAGAGCATTATACCACAGAGATATATGCACACCCATGTTTATAGCAATACACTTTACAAATAGCTAAACCTTGGAAATAGCAGAGGTGCCCATCAGTGGTTGAATGAATAAAGAAAATGTGGGTTTTATATATAATGGAGTACTACTCTGCCATAAATAATGATAAACTTAAACTAAATAGATGCACCTTGAGACCACACTCTAAGTAAAATAAATTGGATGTATGTGCTTTAAATATTACACTGTTTCTCTGATGTGAGAAATTGAAAAAGTAAGGACCAAAACTGATGACTGTTGTTGGGAAATAGGAAGAAAATGTTCAAGTGGCAATGGACGCATGGGATGGGGGAGGGAAAGAGAAGGAAGGAAAAACATATAGAATAAAAGGAAAAAATGGAAACGAAGTTTTTGCCAATGGGGAAGGCAGTTTTTGAAGGGAGGGAAGGGCAATGGGAAAAAGGAAGAATCAAGATGGATCATCCACAGGTACAAACAAACGTGATCATTATGTATATCAAAAGTGTATCGAGATCTGGGGTGCCCTCACTGGCCTCTCTGCGTGTCTGGAGGACTCTGGATTTCTGCGCCCAGACTGCTGGAGTTCCCTCAGGCTTCCAGGTGCAGTGAAGGAGAGAGGTGGGTTTAAGGCTTCCACACCAGCCTCCCCATTCCCGGCTTCATTTGGAGACCTGCTGAGCTCCCGATAGGTGGGCTGGCCCACACTACCAGCCTAGCCCAGCCTGTTTAGCTGCCGCGCCTGGCCACAGGTCTGCAGAGGAGGAGCTGGGCAGATCTGGGGTGCCCTCACTGGCCTCTCTGCGTGTCTGGAGGACTCTGGATTTCTGCGCCCAGACTGCTGGAGTTCCCTCAGGCTTCCAGGTGCAGTGAAGGAGAGAGGTGGGTTTAAGGTTTCCACACCAGCCTCCCCATTCCCGGCTTCATTTGGAGACCTGCTGAGCTCCCGATAGGTGGGCTGGCCCACACTACCAGCCTAGCCCAGCCTGTTTAGCTGCCGCGCCTGGCCACAGGTCTGCAGAGGAGGAGCTGGACAGATCTGGGGTGCCCTCACTGGCCTCTCTGCGTGTCTGGAGGACTCTGGATCTCTGCGCCCAGACTGCTGGAGTTCCCTCAGGCTTCCAGGTGCAGTGAAGGAGAGAGGTGGGTTTAAGGCTTCCACATCAGCCTCCCCATTCCCGGCTTCATTTGGAGACCTGCTGAGCTCCCAATAGGTGGGCTGGCCCACATTACCAGCCTAGCCCAGCCTGTTTAGCTGCCGCGCCTGGCCACAGGTCTGCAGAGGAGGAGCTGGGCAGATCTGGGGTGCCCTCACTGGCCTCTCTGCGTGTCTGGAGGACTGTGGATATCTCTGCAACCAGGGAGGGTCCACAGGTTCCTGAAGCACTGCGACCTGTGGTGAGTACCCTAACCCAGCTGCGATTGAAGAGCTGTGGAGCTTCCAAGGGGCAGGTGGGCACACAGTGTCCCTGAGGCCCAGCTTGTCTGGAACTGCAGAGTTCTGAACAAGCAGAGGAGGGCCATTGGTTCTGCAGGCCCAATGGCTTGGGATAGCGTGGTGCCAGAGTCTCAGTAGCTGCAAACATAGAAGGGGATTTTCAACAGATCCTGAGGAAGCTTTCAAATAACACTTGAAACACAGAAATATAGGAAAATGACAAAACGAAAGACCAAATTACAACCTCAAACCTCCAGCCCATCTCAAGAAACCCTAGGAGCGATGTATATAGAAGAAAATATATCCCATCCACCTCATATATCGGACACAATAGCCACTGAAATTGACAAGCAACTCCAGGAAGCTTTAAAGAAATTCAAACTCGAAATAATATCCCAGATAAAAGAAGAAATGATAAAAGAAATGAAAGAGATTCTAAATATATCTAAAGAAAACACAGATAAAAAATTGGAGGAACTAAACAAAAAGATAGAATCCCTAGACGAGCAATATAAGAAACAAACAGAATACATAATGCAGATGCACAGAGATATACAGGAAATAAAAAACTCCACTGAAAGTTGTAAAAACCGCCTTAATGAAAGTGAAGATAGAATTTCAGACCTTGAAGACAGGATTGCAGCTAGTGAACAGGAAAGGAAAAATCTTTTGAAAATAACAAGGAACCAGGAAACAACAATTCAACAACTGCAAGACGATGCAAAGAAGAATAACATAAGAATGATAGGGATTAATGAAAGAGAGGGAGACAACATGAAGGATGTCAGGAGGATATTTAGAGAAGTAATAGCTGAAAATTTCCCAAGCATGAGATCAGAAACTGACATCAGGATCAGTGAAGCATATAGAACTCCAAACAGTCATAACCAAAATAAAACTACACCCAGACATATAATAGTCACCATCCCAGAAATCCAACACAAGAATAGATTATTAAAAGCTGTCAGAGAGAAAAGACAAATCACTTATAAAGGAAAACCTATCAGAATCACAGCAGACTTCTCAGCACAAACGATAAAGTCAAGAAGAGCATGGAGTGAAGTATTCCAGATCCTAAAGCAAAATGATTTCCAACCAAGACTGATATATCCTGCAAAACTATCATTCAAAATAGATGGTGCAATACGATACTTCCATGACAAAGAACAGCTGAAGAACTTCATGAACACCAAACCAACCCTGCAAAAAATATTGAAAGACAGTTTAGATACACAAAGGAAAAAACCATTAAGCAAAGCAAATAATTAAACAGAACTGAAAGATAAAGATGCAACAGCAGAGAGATAACATTCCTACAATTAACCAGCATTTAACAGTAATAACCATTAATGTAAATGGTCTCAATGCACCAATCAAAAGAAACAGACTAGCAGAATGGATCAAGAAACAAAATCCAACCATATGCTGTTTACAGGAAACCCATCTAACCCAGAAAGATACTCACAGACTGAAAGTCAAAGGATGGAAAACAATTCTTCATGCAGCAGGAATCCAAAAAAAGGCAGGAGTAGCCATTCTGTTTG